GAGAACGAGACACCAGCACACACTGCCCATGGGAAGACACAGCGAGGAGGCTTCCACCTACACACCAGGAAGAGAGCCCTCACCAGAAACTGAATTTTCCAGCACCTTCAGCATCTAGAATTGTGAGAAAATAAATTTTTGTTGTTTGAGCCACCCGGTTAGTGACCCTTTGTTATGGCAGTGGAGCAGACTAAGACAGCATTCTAAAGGAAAGCCAATTACAGGCTGAGCTCCTTAACATGTCGCAGGCTTTGGCTGGACGCATCCGTGAACGATTGAGTTGTCCCCACACAGCCCAAACATGTCACAATGTAGCCTCTCACCATCTTTCCTGTGGCTCTTTTGGGGCTTGGTTCAGGATTTAAGCAAGTGGAGTGTGGTCTCTACTCCTAGCAGGGCTCTTCTGGAGTCCCAGTGGAAGCCTGAGGGTCAGGGAAGTCTCCCCATGCTGGCTGGGCTGGTCCCCACAATCAGATAGTGACAGTGCAGGTGATGGGGTGAGAAAGCCCAGGATGGGGATCCAGACACTGAGGACGGCTGGGCGTAGGGTCAGGGTGTATGGGAAGGGGACAGATAGAGGGCTGGAGAGCAGCCACATCCAGGAAGGCTTTGGACATAATGGCTGTCAGATTTGAGCTCTGGGCAATAGGGAGCCATGGGAGAATATAGGCAGGAGTGGGGTATGGTTGCCTTTTCTTTGAGAGACGTGCGGAGACCACAGCTTCTTCTTGTTTCTGCTCACAGGGGCCTGACCAGGAGAGTCTCGGGCCTTCAAGAGACAAATGGACATTGTGGCAGAGAGAGGATGATGCTGTGGGGTCCACGCACCCGGGACAGCCTGGACAGCCAGAGTCTGAACAGGGCGGGGCTGGGCAGGACCCTTGGAGGGGCGGGACTGCAGGGCCACTGTCCCGCATGTGAGCCACGTCCTCTGTAAAGGAGTAATGAAAAATGCACTGCTTGCTCCCCTGCCACCTCACCTGTCACCTCGACTCCACCCCCCAGAAAAAGCCTGCAGAGAAGGAGAGGGTTCTTCAGGAAAGTGCAACCCACATGCCTCCACCAGAGCCCCCTTGTCAGGCTTGGCTGCAGGCAGCCGGTCAAGCTCAGACACCTGAGTGAACGTAGACGCCCAGACCATGTGGAATGACCTCTCTCTTCTGTGACTGGGGAGGGCTCCACCAAGCAGTAACTGGGGACTTGGATTCAATGCCAATGTCCCCCAGTCTCACCTTTGTGAGCCCCCATCACCCCCGCCTGTCATCCCTGGGTGCTGTCCACTCAGGAAAGATACACAGGCAGAGGGTTTATCAAAGTTTATTTGGAGCAGGTGTAGGCGACCCCTCGGGAGAGACCAGAGCAGGCAGGGGGCTCGGGCACCACGGCCTGTGGGGAGGAGCTCCTCTAAATCAGCTCCTGCCACATAGAAGGGCAGAGGCTCAGGGCCCTGGGTGGCCTGCGGAGGATCCGGGGGGCAGTGGTCAGGGCCCCATGCAGCCTGGATTTGGGCAAAGCACCCAGTACTGTGAGCCTCAGTTTTTCTATCTGTAAAGTGGGGTAACAGTCCCAACCTCTAGGGGCTGGGCTGAGACAAAGTGAGGTCATGCAGGTGAGGGGTTAGCACCGTGCCAGACACAGGGAGTCCCAGATGGTACCCACAGGGCCTGCGCCCCCCACCCAGACCCCAGGCAGGACCTGAAAGAGCAGAGCCAGCTGGCAGCCTGTACCCCCTGCTGGATGGGAAAGATGGGGACAAGAGGCCACCGTCCCCTCCCCCAACAGCTCTGTCTTCCATGTCCCCAGACTCCTAGGTCCCTGCCTGGCTGCCTGGATCACCACCCTGGAGGCTCCAGCGCTTTCTAAACCACAAAACTGGTGCCTCTCCAGAGTCATCCATCAGTTTTGTTGGGTCCTGCTCAGAAGAGCAGGTGCAGGGCCCCCTCCCGCCTGGGGCCCGGATCTAGAGCTAGCTGGGGCTGCAGTTAGGGCCAGCGACTGAGCCCAGGGGCCCAGGGGCTTCGGGACAGACCGAGGGGTACAGGCTCACCTCCTTCAGGAGCTTGGCACACCTCCCTGTGGGACAGGCAGAGTGAGGTGCCAGTGGGCTGTCATCGGACACCCCCAGGGCCCCCAGCCCAGCTGCTGTGGCCAGAGAAGGAACTGGCCCAGAGAGGACATTGGATCCACTGGACTCTGGGCAGCCCCTCCCAGCAGGGCCTGTGTTCTGGGAGCAGCTGGACCTGCTGCCACGGACCCCAGACGCCGCTGGGCCTAGCTCTTTTCCAGGGTGATGAAAGGGACAGGATGGACAGAACCGCCTCCCCAACAGGTGCCCGGTGCAGCCCCAGACTCAGGAATAGGGGTCGCGACTCACCGGTTGCAACAACTTCACGCAAGTCACTGTGGATGGAAGCAAAGTGGTGAGACTCGGGGCGGGGGCCGGGCGGGGCCGGGTCTGCCCTGTCTCCACCTCCGGGAGGCCCTGACCCGGGGCGGGGGCCACTCACGGTCGTGCTGAAGCAGGTGCACGTCTGCTTTGGTGAAACCGCGCTCCCGGGCCATGTCCTTGAACTTCTTCAGGGCTTCCTCGTTGTGATCCAGGCTCCGGCCTGTGGGCGAACGTGGGGGTAGCTGGGGGAGCAGGGGTCCCACAGGGTAGAGGCAGGAGACGGCCCCCTCCCTGCCACATCCCCCTGGGCTCTCCTGTCCCCGTCTTAGAGCTGGAGGTCCCCACAGCACAGAGGGAGCAGCATCACGCCCCCGGTGCGGCGTGGGCTTACTGTACAGCTTCAGGACCCTGTGCGCCTCCCCGTCCTTGTGGAACGAGATGTCCATGATAGTGTGGGTCTGGTAGTCCGTGGCCACAACGAGAACCTCTTTGTTTCCTGTCAGACGAGCCAAACTGACTCAGCTCCAGAGCACCCTCCCCCTGGCACCTGCACGCACACACACGCACAC